TTCTCTCTCTTGAGAGTCTTGAGAAAAGGAATTATGTAAAGCATTCCATACCTCCCTTGAAGACTCAAGTCCTACCACAATAGTCAAAGTATCTTTACTGAGTGTACCCATTATCCATCGTCAAAGTAGACGATCCGAATGCCTCCGATCTATAAAATTAGGGTTAACAACCTTTTGCTGGTCTGTAGTTGAATCCGAAGCAGGTACGATATCTGGTGGTGGTGGAATTTCTCCATCAATGAAGCTTGTAAAATCTTGGCTTTCAATTAAGCTAAGATTTGAGTTCTCCACAACATGTAATTATTTTGAGTGAGTTTGATTGACACAAAATTTCCAACATTCAAAGTAGATGGGTAAGGGTACTGGCTTTGTTGATTAGTCATTTACGGAGTTAAAAAAAAAATAGGGAATCTAATGATGATTTGAGGCACAAGAAATATGATTGGTTCAACCCACACAACTTTGGTTGTGAATGGCTCTAATACTATAAAGAGGTTTACAGGCAAAATATGTTTTGGTCTCTCACTGATTCAACGTGAGAAGACAAAAGGGAAAACTTTGTTTTATATATTAAGTGACTTGATACACAAGAGATTATTGGAGAAATTTTAGGGGAGAGATTTTAGATAATGATTTACACATGTGATAAATAAAAGTTTCCTAAAGCTTGCCCAAACAGCTCCCTTGGTGTGCACGTCTGTAGCCTTGACTGGAACATCACCATATTTTGAACTCTCAATCCTAATATGTATAACGATAAGTCTCGACACATACGTCGTAGACATAATAATGTTAGGAAAGTGTTTTCTAATGGTATTATATCCATTGACTAGATGAAGTCAATGGATAATATCGTGGATCCGTTTGCAAATGGTTTGATTAGAGAGCAAGTAGAAAGTTCATTAAGGAGAATGGGCTTAAAACCTACTATTTAACCAAGAGTCATCATAATTGCAACCCAACCTATCTGATTGGAGATCCTAAGATTTAAGTTCAAAAGGACAACCGAATTATGTGTAACTCAGAGATGCATTGAAGAGATTGTCAACTCCTTCCCATTCCTATGATAAGGCAGAGCATATTTACCACGAGAACTAAGGTAAGTTACTCCTTCAATGATTTTTTTGACTTGGAAAAGTCCAAGTTGGGTATAGTAGGATACTCTGAATCAAAAATTACCTACGAAAGTAAGAAGAGGTCGCTTATATTAGAATCGTAGGTTGATGACTTTAAATTACTCATAAAACCAAGTTGTGTTCAATGTCAAATGAACACAAATGTAAGAACTAATTGTGTCCGAAGGGAAACTATGTGAATTTATTATCTTAGTTTACGCAATTAGCTGATAGTTCAAAGACATAAAGTTTACTGATTAGCCAAGTAAATTCGATAGTCTTTCACTATTAAAATTTTAAGGTCACTAGGCTACTTATCCCAATATAGTAATCTTTTAACAATACTTGAATTAGTGTCTGCATTTTCATATATTAAATTTTTATTCTTGTGGGGGATTTTTAGAAAAAATAGATTTGACAAGTTATTTTTTAACAACTTTGGGCTTAAATAAAATTGAAATCTATACCACGAAATTAGTGGGATCAAATTTAAAAACATTTTCCTTCACGGGAAAATTAATGTAGTATATTTATTTGTTTAAAACTATTATTGAATGAAAAATTATGTCTCAAAGTGACTCATTTGAATGAATAAAAAGATCTAAGTTTAATAAAATGAAATGTATAAGGCTTATCCCACATTGGAAAGAAACCAAAAACTAATTGAGTTAATATGCTCCTAGTTAGCTTCATGGGTTGGGCCCCAAGAAGTACCACATTTATGTAATCGGAGCGAGTACCTACACAACTTTAGTTACCACACACGTGCACGCCACGACCTGACACAGCCTGACCGGGCTTGGGCCTTGGGTCACAAAAATATTATATTTTTGTTGAAAGTTTATTTGTTGCGGTGTGGGTTATGGGTCAAACTAAACGGATCCGAACGCGGATCGCATTTAGTCTTCCAACCGAAATTTAAAATTTATGTCCGTTATTTTTGAATTTGGCACCAACTTGAATTATGTCTGTTCACACTCCAGAGGTGCCTTTCCTTTCCGTTATTGTTCAAATTAAAAGTGTGTCTCTTCAATCCGAAAAGGTACAACAAACAATGATATCTCATTCTTTTTCAAGCATTCTGAACAAACAAAAAAGGGTTTATAAAAAGATTCCCTTACAACCATTTTCAATCATCGAAATACAAGTTGTGTTCATTGGTCTTATAGGATTGAAGTGATGCTTCTTCAGATAAGAAATTCATCTTATTTTGAGAGATAATTACTTATTAACTTTAAGCATCGAGAGAGAGCAAATCTATCTTAAAAAAACTGTGGCTACACAGGTCTCAAATTCTTATTTATTGTTGTTCTACAATTAAGTAAGTGTGTCATTTCAGTTTAGATTATCCATTCTTTTTTATATAAATAGTTTATATATAATAGTATATTTAATAATTCTAAATTTACTACAGTAATTAGTTTTAATTTTCAATTCTAATTATATATTTGTTAACATGTCCATCCTACACTATGTGGTATAATAGGCTGTCATTTTCCTTTGAATTTATGCTTGCAAGCTAGCATTACGTATAAAGCCGAAACGTAATCAATGACTAAAAAAAGAAACTTTCGTGTGATAGATAATTTGATTTTTGCCATTGGAAGGTTTCAGTTTGGTGTACTTTCGCTATCAATCTTGCTCACTTCTTTCAAGTATCACCAAAAAATCTTCACATAGAACTAATTCGATTTTAAAATGCCCCCCAAGACATCAATAATAATATGTAAAGGTGAGAGCAACCCATAGCTGTCGTGATCGGGGTACAAAATTCATCGCTAATAATTAATAAAAAGAAAATTCAAAAGTTTGGTACCGCATAATAACATTTTTAAAGTATCTTTTTCTTTTTTACTTTTTTAAGTAGGGCTTATTTACATTTTCACTTTTTCATTTTTTTTTTTTTTGGTGCGATGCTAGTCTATTTACCTAAATTTAATTGCATCTATAGTAATACATAGACGAATATATACAACTATATATATATATATATATATATATATATATTAAGCTTCTTATAGATCAGAGAATGAGAGCTCATCACTCTCAACATAAAAAGGAAAAAGAAACCGACGGTGCAAATTATAGAAATAGGACTTAGAAAATAAAGAATTCTTTCCAAAATCACTCAAAAATAATAACACACCCAAAAAACCCCTTTTTTCACCACACTAGGAAAGAGTTTGAGCATCCAAATGCTGGTTTAGCTTGTTCTGGCCTGGCATCAATGATCGGATATTGTGGTCTTTTATTAGATACAACCATCTTAAAATGGTTGAACCAAGCCAGCTAGTTTTTTGCCCACTGAGGCTATTAAATGGGATCATGACACAACTGTTTCCACTGTCTGCTGCTTCTCAAATGGGCGTTTTTAATTTCACTACACTTCCTCAGTGCCATAATTACTTGATGGACTGTTGAGAAACCAATTCAGCATGGCATGAATGGATATTGTGCCAAGTAACAAGTTGATTCGGGTCGGGTCGGATTTGAATTACTATTGAGTGTTAGTAAATTTTAATCTCATTTGTTTGAAAAAAGTAATCACATATTTTGATGTTAACCTAATATGTTTATTGTTTTGTCATGTCTGCGTAACACATGAAGCAAAACCTAAAACAAGGAGTCCCTTCTCGTTTAATTAAAGCTACTATCCGAAATATGCCCCATAAACTAAAAATAAGGGTTAATAAGTATTTTTGATCCTTAAAATATATATTTTTTATTAATTGAGTCCTCATTATATCAATTTGATTCTTAAAGTATTCAATTCATGTCACTTTAGTCTCTAATCAGACAATTCGTTAAATTTTTTTTACAAAGGTGATTACGTGTCATTTTTTTAAACGGTATCACGTACCCAATAGAATTTGTTTTAGTAATTTAAAATATAATTTTTTATAAAATAAGAGACAATAATTGATATTTCATTCAAAAGGACAAATAAAATAAAAATGAATTGATTAATAAAGTAGAGGTAAAAATGTAATTGTGTTTTCATAAGAAAGATAAAATTAGAACAATCTATGCCATTTATGGAGCTTAGAACTTTATGGGATCTTCCTGACAGCTACTTAGCATATTTCCCTTTTGCTTATTGTAATCTTTGTAAATTTAGGACTTGGATTCTTTGGAAAGTGCTATTATTGTCTGTACTTCCCACCGAATTCTCTTCCTTGTTGTTTTTGCTTTCTCCGTTAGACAACTTTTGGTTTGTTCTGCTGGTTGCTCTGCTAATGCTTCTTTTATATACAATTTATATTTATCTGAATTTTATGGGAATAAATTATTAAAAATAAGACTTAATTGTACAGATAAAAACATGGTCGAGTTTTTATTTAATATTATTTAGACTTAAAAATTTAATCTTATGTGTTAATTAATTTATTATGACTTTTGAATTAATTATAAATCTTATGAACATTAAAACTTATTCTTTTTATAATAATTTTAATAAAATCACAACGTCAAGTTAAATTTGTGGTTGTGAAAAGCTGTACTCTTTCACTAAATTCCAACCTTATTTTCTTGGCCTTTTAATACCCTTGAACTGTGAACCACATCGAAGTCCTATGAATGCTTTTCTCTCCCTCTCTCTCTCTCTCTCTCTCCCGCCCCCTTGCTCCCTATTTTGCTTTCAGCTCTTTTTCTCTCCCTATCTCTCTCTTTCTCTCTCACACACACAAGACAGACACAAAACTTACAGACACTGTTCTATTTCACTACCTTTCCCAGATCGAATTGAATGAGGGAGAAGGTAGTTGAGAGTGATTTAAGACGTGTAACTGTCTCTGGTTTTCCATCATCCACCACCTTCCATATATCCCCCCAGCTTTGCCCACATCTGCTGTACTTGTGTCATCTCTCTATATTTCGTTGAATATTAGCATTTAACACCCACTGTTTTGTTTTGGTAGAAATTTCAATAGCTTTTATTGAACCCACCTGTAATTTCCAGCTCTTCTTCATTCTTATACCCCTCTCTCTCCTACTCTCCTCTTTACTTCATCCCCTCTCTCTTTCTCTCTCTCTCTCTGCAATGGATCCTATCTCATCTTCTTCACTCTCTCCTTACTACCATATAATTTTCACTGCTTTAGCCTTCCTTGTTTCAGGCTTGATCTTTTTGTTATCACGTAAAACCAAGTCTAAGAAGCTCAATCTGCCTCCGGGACCACCCGGTTGGCCGGTCGTCGGAAATCTCTTCCAAGTCGCCCGCTCCGGCAAGCCCTTCTTTCAATATGTAAGAGAGCTATTGCCAAAGTATGGTCCAATTTTCACTATGAAGATGGGTGCAACAACCATGATCATCCTCAGCAGTGCTGAGTTAGTCCACGAAGCTTTGATTGAAAAGAGTCAAGTCTTTGCCACCAGGCCAAGGGAGAACCCGACTCGAATCGTGTTTAGCTGCAACAAGTTCACCGTCAACTCCGCCCTCTATGGCCCTGTGTGGCGGTCTTTACGGCGGAACATGGTCCAAAACGGCCTCTGTGCAAGTAGGCTCAAAGAATTTCGATTCGCAAGAGAGACCGCCATGAATAAACTTATCGACAGGCTTCGATCTGAAGCAGAAGCCAATAATGGGACTGTTTGGGTACTGAAAAACGCTCGATTCGCTGTGTTTTGCATACTTTTAACAATGTGTTTCGGGATTGAGTTGGATGAAAAGATGATCGAAAGCATTGATGAGCTGATGAAAACTGTGCTGATGGTTCTTACTCCAAGAATGGACGATTATCTTCCATTACTGAGTCCATTTTTTTCGAAACAACGCAAGTGGGCCATGCAAGTTCGTCAAGAACAAATCGAAACCCTTGTTAAATTGATCGAAAGGCGTCGAAAAGCGCTTCAAAACCCAGGTTCGGACAAGTCCGCAGTGTCATTCTCGTATCTCGACACACTCTTCGACCTCAAGATTGAAGGTAGAAAGTCATCTCCGACGAATTCGGAGCTCGTTACACTCTGCTCCGAGTTCGTCAATGGCGGAACTGACACAACAGGCACATCAATCGAGTGGGCCATGGCGAGATTGATTGACAATCCCAACATTCAATCCAAACTGTACGATGAAATCAAATCGACAGTAGGAGAGAGAAAGGTGGACGAGAAGGATGTAGAGAAGATGCCGTACCTAAACGCCGTCGTAAAGGAATTACTGCGCAAACACCCGCCAACGTACTTTTCACTGACCCATGCTGTGATTGAGCCAGCAAAGTTGGGTGGCTATGACATACCCACGGACACAAACGTGGAGATTTTCCTCCCGGGTATTTCAGAGGATCCGAAACTTTGGACCAACCCAGAAAAGTTTGACCCGGATAGGTTCCTATCCGGCCGGGAAGAAGCGGACATAACTGGGGTGACCGGAGTGAAGATGGCGCCGTTCGGGGTTGGGAGGAGGATTTGCCCCGGGTTGAGCATGGCCACGGTGCATGTGAATTTGATTATAGCAAGAATGGTTCAAGAATTCGAGTGGTCCGCTTACCCGGCAAATAGCAAACTGGATTTTACTGAGAAGTTGGAATTCACTGTGGTGATGAAGGATACTCTAAGAGCTACAATCAAACCAAGGGTGTAAGTGGTGCTTATTATATATATACTCAGGTGATCATGGTAAGTTTTATAGCATCCATATATATATAGTTTGAAGGTCACGAATAATCTTCTTTATTGCCTCATTTTGTGTTGATCAGCCTTGTTCATTGGGCTGCTCTTATGAATTGCTCAATCACTTTAGGAAGTTCACTTGTCTGCTATATTATCATTGTACCACAGAAAGAAGCAATAGAATCACAAGTTCTGTTACTTGTGATTTTTAGATGGTTACTTTCAAGATGGAGAGGCTTAAGATGTTAAAGGTTAACTTCATGTTGAACTCTAGATTCTGGTTGGGATTCGCACTAATGCTATTAGGACATAATTTAGGTACATAGTTTAAAAATTTAATGCATCGTGATTATTGGATTAATAGTGTTTACATCTACTAATAATTTAATGTTATGATCTACTGACGATCTAATGACCACAATTATTAAGTTCCCAAATTATGTGTCAATTGTATTGCGCTTAAATTCGGGTTTGAAACTCGTCGCTAGGAATAAAAAATGCTCTTCAAACTTTTATTGTATTTTATTTCCTTGTTTGTGGATATGTAAGAATTTTAGAAAAATTTTAGTCACACTTTCTCTAATTTATCATATTTGTAAGGATACTCTCTCTAATTTCTGAATCTTCATTAGCATCTCCTATTAGATTAAAGATATTAATTAAAATATAATTTTACTAAATTACCCATGGTATATTTTAGAAAAAACTGCATCAACCTCTTTTTTAGATAGAAATATATTCAATGAAACCCATTTTATTTTATGAATTTTTTTACGTATTAATTTTAGGCCAATTAATTAAAATAATGTACATAAATCCATTAAAATAGATTACGACTCATTTTCATTAGATTATAAATTTAATTCGTTTTTTATAAATTCAAAATTAACTATCAATTAATAAAAATTCAATAAAAAAAATTACAACAATGGTTAACATCAAGCAGCAAGAAAGATTTGTTCTTGGGGCAATTAAATTCACATCAGAGAATTCACAGGATCTGGATGATGCATAGCCAGCTGTTTAGACTCATCCAATATTGTGGAGCCCACAGCCTTAAATTGGGTCATTTTTAGTTGAGCATTAAATTTGAGAACATTTTTTTTGGCTTAGTGTGACCTTCTTGGCTACTATCAATCGGCCCATTTGTTTCTCAAGCCAATTACACAAGCAAAACTTACCTCATACGGTTTTCTATGCATTTAGTAGATTAATTCAATTTTGCTAAACTCTGTCAAGCATCTATTACAAAGATCAATATATGTAACACTAGACCATGATACGAATGCGATCTAATGGCGATTATGCAACAGCAAGGAGCACTACTCCCGCTCAAAAGTAACATCTAGAAAGAAGGATTGAGATAGATATTTTTATGCTCCGTTTGGTAGGGAGGATGAAAAGTATGAGGGATACACTTTCTATCCTTCAAAGATGAAAAGTAGGAAAGATACACTTTCCTTCCTTTGTGTTTGGTTGGATGGATGGAAAATAAAAATGACTATTTTTTTTTCGTTGGCTAAAAGTAGAGGTGACAATCGAGTCGTATCGTATTAAATTCGTGTTGAGTCATTACGGGTGTGTGTCGAATATTAGTCAAACATAATTTAACTCATTTAACTAATTGTGTCGTGTCGAGTTGCGAGTTGACCTGTTTATTTTTGTATTGAGTCCGAGTCGTGTCATCATGTTGAGTCGAAAATTTTCACCTCAGTTAAGATGACAAAAATATTTTTTTTTTTAATTTAAATTTTGTATTTTTATTTTTTTATTTTTAAAAATTTATTTTAAAATTTTTTTATATATATATATATATATATATATATATATATATATATATATATATAGACAAATAAGATACATATCAATATCAATAATTAACTTTTTATCTATTTTTCTTTTGATTTTGGAGGAATTGATTTTGGTGAGTTGGAAAGAAAATTAATTCATCCATTTTTTCATCATTTTTACTTTCATTTTTTACCAAAAATGATGTTTTATTTATCCATATAACTTTTTAGCCTTCTAATTTTCAATCCTCCTATTTTTTTGTTATACCAAATAGAGCATTAGTGTATTCTAATGTCTTATAGATGCAAACGATAAAGACATCGAAAAGGGGGCGGAAATAGTCTATTTACCTTTCAGTATTCTGGAAAAGGCATAGAAATCTGTGAGGCAATTTTTCTAGTTCAGCATTCTCCTATTTTTGGTTCTAAATCCTGTTAACTTGGGGGTTCTCAAGGCTCATCCCATGTCCTTTTAAAAACTTATACCCAGATTTTTTTTTTTTTGCTCTATGTCATGAGCAATAAGCAATTAATATAGCTTTACTAGTTGAGTTAAAGAGCTACTATAGTCGATGTATAGTTTGACTTGTAAAGCAATTTTTGGTTTTTGAAATGGTAAGTAGGCAGATTCAGATCCCCTGCAGAACTAGATATTAATGATGACACCATCACTTTGATTGAAATCTTTTATGTTCTACTGGGTTCCCACCCAATACCCTATATCTGATGTGGTATTGAGATAACTGTAAAGAATTCTAAAATAGAAATGGATCTATCATATTCAAGTGATTCCCTTGCCAACGCTCAAACAGAGCATTGAGAGAACTGAAAGAATTTAATATTAAAATTGATTTATCATATTCAAGTGATTTTCTTATCAACGTTAGATCGATGTCTAATCTTACATGGAGGGAAATAAGAGAATCTAATGTCGAAAAATGAATCCTAATCCTATGTAGATGAGTGCCTCTAGACAACTTCTTCTATGTTTTGGTCTAGGAAAGCATGAGATCAAAGGCCTTTAGAGAGTTTAATGTTCCCCTTCGATTAATAGAGAAATTGAATGTAAAATTTATTCATTTATTATACAAATGAATAGGCAAGAGTCCAGAATTTAATGCACAGTAGTGGTACTTTCAGAAGAATTTAATGCATTGTCGGGAAGTATTTTCGTGAGGTGTCTTTAATACCCTCGCATTGATACATATATAATCTACACCATGCTTGAACCTACATGACTCATTGATGTTGTATCTCAACAATAAAGAGGGAACCGGGAAACGAAGAGAGTGGATGACAGATGGAGAGATCTACAAATCTAAATTTGAATACATGCACGACATATATACTAGTTATTGCATGTGTCTGAAGGTGGAGAGTATTAAAAAATAATAAATAATAAATATATTTATATTAATATCTAAAATTAAATCACAAATATAGATAAGAGATAAATAAATTTAAGCATTGATTGTAGTAGGGATGAGAGGTGGTTGGGCGGTAGTGGTGGTGGTAGGAGACGGTGATGATTGTGGTGGGTGACAATGACCGTGGCGGCGACGGCGGTGGTGGCGGTGACGACAGTGGTGGTGGCGGTGGCAGCGAATGCGACGGCGGTGGTGGTGGTGGTGGGGGTGGCGACGGTGGTGGCGATGGAGGCAACGACGGTGGTGGCGATGGGGGCAGCGGCGACAGTGGTGGTGGTGATGGTGGTGACGGCAACGGCGGTGGTGATTGTTACTTTTAAACAGTCACTCCAAACACACCCTTAGGGGCCTATTTCTCCTATTAAATTGAAATTATTAATATTACAACATAGCAGTCAATTAAAAAGGACAAAAAATTGTCTCAACAAACTAAACTTAAGCCACTATTAGGTAGCTGTCAATGCAGGATTTGATTGGAAGTAGGGGCTCAAGACCCTTACTTACTTTAAAATTCGGGTAAATTATAAGAGGGTACAACAAATTAGACTTATTTAACAAAAAGTACATACTAAAAAATGTAGGGTTATTAAGTACTTAATTTTGATACTTATTTGTATCCAAGTACATAATTTGAATTTATCTATTTTTATTGTAACATTTTTGCCCTCCATTGGTGAATGTGTATTTTTTATTGAAAAGGGTTTAGTTTTCAAATTATATTTGTGTATTAAATAAGTCCTAGTTTTATGAGAGAGAAATACAATACTTATCAATAAAATTTCAAATTTTAAATACACTATTATTTTTAGCTTTTTAAGAGGGAAATATACGGTTGTATTTTTCTTCATGAAGCTAGGTATATTTTTGGTATTATTACTGACTGAAGCCGATTTTCCTTCATCACATACAAGACGATTTTGCTGCTTCTTCAAATCTTGAGGCGAGTTATGCTTCTCCTCCATCCAATTGCAATCCGATATTGGTCTTCATCGACATCGACATGACACTGGTATATATGTAAGGGAGAAGTCGAGAAATACACACTAGTATTTTTGTGCATGAAAGTAAAGTTTCTTCAAAACTGAAGCTCATTTTCTTCGTTACCTGCAAGGCGATTTTATTTTTCAAACTTTTAATTTTTATTTACTTCTACTTACATTTGCAATCCCATATTTTTTTTCATCCATATGACAATTAGGTTTGTGGAAGATATAACAAAACAAACAAACGTATGTGTTTGAGATTTTGTTCCAGCCGAATACTGAAGCATTTAGCCTAACAATATCATAACAGGAATTACAAGATATGTTACATTTAACCTATTAACATAATAAATTAATATGTATAAATTTTTTTAGTTTTTATTTGTTTTGATATATGTTTTTTTTTTTGAATTTTTATTGTATCTATTCTTTTAATAGTTTGAGATTTTGTTGGCAATGAAGGAAACGGTGTTGCTGTTATGTACATATGGTAATGATACTAAAGTATTCAAAGTACATGGTAATTCAAATATATCGGAGCTTGTTCGCGAAGTTTGCGAAACGTGAAAGGAGTTGTTTTAACTTGTCAGTACATATGTCATATTATATTCTTGGTCACCCCTCTTGCATAATACGAACCGATGCGGATTTGAAGAATTTGGTTGAATTGAAACGTTGTTTGCTAGAAAATTACTTTGAAATTAATGTGTTTGTGGAAGATATCGAGGGCTGGTCGTTGGGTGATGATGATTCGTTGCAGTATGTAAATATTGGTGATGTTGTTGAATGTGAAATGGATTTGGTACCCAGTTTTATTGGTCACAATGAGAAAGTTCTTCGAACAGCTGGGTGAAGTAATGAAATACGGCGAGTAAGACAGAAATTTGAAGGTGGTGTGGTATAGTTTCGGCAAACAGTTTACAAATACTCGATTGAGTGTGATTTTGAATTTAATTATGTAAAGAATTGTAAAGCAAGGGTTATTGTTGAATGTTCATTTAAGTATTCTAAGGGTTGTGGGTGGCATATAAATGAAACTGTGGAGAGAGCTACTGGTTTTTTTTATATTAGGAAATTGGGACAACAAACACATTTGTGGTGTGGATGTACGAACGACAGATAATAAGTGAATGAGTTCTAAATTGGTTGCAAATTTAATTGTTGATCGTGTTCATGGGCATAGGAAAACACGTCCAACGGAAGTGGTTGCTGATTTTTTTTCTGATTATGGACTCACCATTTCTTATGATAAAGCATGGGAAGGAGTTGAGAAAGCAAAAGACATGCTTTTTGGGGACCAGTCAGTATCGTGCCAACAATTACGTTGGTATGTCAATGCAGCAAATTGTACTAATCCGGGTAACCATATTGTGTTAGATTGTGATCATGAGACTAATTGTTTCAAAAAACTGTTTGTTTCCTTTAAGGGTTGTATTCATGGGTTTAATTATTGTCATTCACTATTTTTTTTTTGGATGACACATTTTTGAAAGGCAGGTATAGAGGTAATCTTCTATAATCTTTATGGTTAATTTATAATCTTTATGTTATACTGTTTTTGTTACACTTTGTTTGTTATATTGTTACACTTTCGTTGTTACACTATTTTTGTTATATTGTTACACTATGATATGAAAACATTTAATAGTGAGTATACACACATGGTTTAATTTGAAATAGTGGATTATTACCATTCACCACCCAAAAATATTTTAGAATTACCATCTCATCTGTTACACTGTTTTTTTGTTTTAATTTTTCACTAATATTGTATGTGCTTCATTTTTCCAGGTTTGTTTCCTTTGGCATTTGTCGTGGTTGACTTGGAAAATGAAGCAAACTGGTTTTAATTTTTAGAACAGTTGTCTAATGTATTGGATCAGTCTCGGGTTATTACATTTATATCTGATAGAAACTTGGGTCTGTTAGAGACAATGCCGAAAATTTTTTCAAATGCTCATTATGCATTTTGCTTGCAGCATTTGAAAGATAACTTGCGTGATAAATTGAGTGGTGGTCATTTTTCCAATGTATTTCGAGAACACATGGTGAGATTGTTACGTGAGTGTGCTTATGCACCAACACAGTCACTTTTTAATGAGAAGATTGAAACATTCCATCGTTAAAGAGGTTCTAATGTGGACAGGTTTCTGTCCAATCTTCCATATGAACACTAGACAAATGCTCATTTTTCAGGGAAGCGTTACGGTGAGATGTGTTCTAATGCTGCCAAATCGTTTAACGCGTGGATCTTGAAAGCTCGGCATTTACCTATTACTAGCATGGTTGACACAATTAGGGGACAGATAATGGATCAAATTGGCCAAAGGATGAAAATATGTTTGGATTGGAATGAGAATTTATGTCCTAATATGTCTTCGAGATTACAAGCTGCATTTGATGAGGGGAGGTCATGGACTGTGCGGGTTTCGAATAACCAAGTGAATGAAGTGATGTCATATCCTTCGGTCACCGTTGATATTTTGAATGACACATGTTCATGTTGTCAGTGGCAAATAAATGGATTTTCTTGTTCATATGCGATTTCTGCAATACAAAAGAGTGGGTGAAATATCAACGAATTTGTTGATTATTACTATCATGTCAGCACGTACAAGATATCATATTCTGAACCAATTTATTCAGTACCAACTTAACATCGTGATGACAGTTTGGATGTGGATGTTAATATTTTGCCACCATATACGAAGAAGCAACCTGGTAGACCAAAAAATCGTAGAATTCAATCTAGGGGAGAAATTATTAAGTGAATTCCTTGTGGCCGGTGTGGGCGTTTGGACAGTCACAACAAAAGATCTTGTAACGAACCGTTCTAGACTGGTTTATTGCTATCACTTAATGACATTGTTTAATGTTTTAAGTTTTCTACAACATTACTTGTATACAACCCTCACTGGTCTTGTATATTGATTTAACACACTGTTTTGGAACATTTTTTTTGCATATATGTTTAAATGTTACACTTTGAATGTTACCCTGTTACACTTTTCTATGTTATCCTTTGACATGGTATCCATTAATCAACAATGAAGAAATACCTCCTTTTTTTTTTGATGAATAGAGAAATTTATTAATTTATTTATACAAAAAAAATATTTACAAGAAGCAAAGAGGATAAGCCACATGTTGGCTTTAATCCTTCAAGACAACAAACCATTCTATATTTTGTAAATCAAGAAAAAGTACAGTCTCTCAAAATTCAAGTAAAACCAGCAAACATGGCAGCACCCTACATCTTCCCATATATAACCATCAAAATTACAGACCAGCAATACACTCAACACAGCATAATCTGATCAAAAAAATGCACAGCACATCAGCCTACCTCCTTCCAATGACTCATTAGCACATGCATCAAATCAGCAGCAGAAAATTTAGCACAGCTTGATATCTGGATAGCATAAGATGCCAATAAATCAACTAACAATTCTTTCACTTTACAGTCATCTGCCCTCTTATGTGACTCTCCCTGGACATGTTGGATAAACATCAATCATCACAGAGCAAAATGTGACACAAACAAAGAATGTACATCCATGTCTCATCATTCACCACTGTGCATTTGTGTAAGTGCAAGTGTAAACATGTTACACTTTCAATGTTACCCTGTAATACTTTCCATGTTACATTTTTGACATGGTAGCCGTGAATCAACAATGAATACACACCTGTATCCCTGGACATGCGGGATAAACGTCAATCACAACAGACCACAATGTCACACAAACAAAGAAGATGTACATCTATGTCTCACCATTCACCACTATGCATTTGTGTAGGTGCAAGTGTAAACATGTTACACTTTCAATATTACCTTGTAACACTTTCTATATTATATTTTTGACATGGTACCCGTGAATGAATCATGGATACACACCTGTATCCCTGAACAATTTGGATAAACGACAATCACAATAGACCACAGTGTCACACAAACAAATAAGAGGTACATTCATGTCTCATCTTACAATAATCATTAAGGGTAAAGTACATAAGCAATGAAAACTTTGTTATTTATCGTCAAATTTTTTCTTCAATTCCCTACGAATTTTGAGATCTTCTTCATTATAAGAATTTGGATGGTTAAGAAACAATAATACCATTTCAGCTAGGAATTCGGTCAGCTGTCTTGCTGTTAACCTCACATCAATCTCTTCTCCTTTTGTAAGTTGTTTCATTAGGTAACATACATGCAAACCGCATTCAACCCTACATTAACTCCAATAGTTAATATGTATCAATATTTTTTAAAAACAACAATTTCATTTAGAGAACGAGTACTAACGAGTTTGCCTTTTGTTGTGGACATGTCTGACATGATATTATTGGAATCTCCTTATCCTGTGTGTCTATGTCGATCTCCTTCAAATGATTGAACTCCGTAATCTTCTTTTCAACATATTTTTTCTGCAATTACATAAATAGCTTTAATATTGTGGATATACACCAAACCAATATAGACTATAAACATGACTGTTGTAACATAATCAAACCAATATGATTGCATCCTCTAGGTACATATCGCGGGTGCCTTTCGTCCTTGGCCTTAATAAGTTGTAATGCATCCAGACACCTTCTTTAGTATTCAATATCAGCAGAGTCCAGTGGTTCGGAGAACAATTTTCTTTCCGACCATTTGAATTCATAGGAAAAATAACATATTTTGAATCTCCGAATGCTGGTATGTGCCTGTCTATTTGTTGTTCACGTGCATATTCTAGAGTTGGAAGAGTTACAAAGGACTACATATTCAAAATATGTAAACTATAAGGTGTTAAACAACTGACAAATAATTTAATTGAACAATTCGTAGTACATTGTGCTATTTATAAATCTCACCCAACAAAGACTATTAATGAAGTAGCAACGTCTTTAAAATGTGGACAACTCATTATAATCATTAATTCCTTTTAGCATATCAGCCCAACAATCACTGATATGTTAAAAAATAAATATCATGTTCCACTATACAGACTATGTTACATTGTAAAATAACACTTTATATCTAAAAAATTCAACTACATGTTACACTTTCAACAAATACATACGATTTCGTATGAAAGTGTCATTATTTTCAAACATCCTCCACATATATTACGCTTCCAACTCTATACCCAGACCATATTTGAGCACTACAATGTTATAAAAATTGAAAGCAAACTTGTCATATATTTTATAGTAATAAACAATTTTTTAATAACAAAAAAATAGGTAAACTTGACAGTGACGCTTACTCGTAACCCTCTTCATCATATATGATCGTCAATTTGTTGAAATCAATGGCATCCAATGCTTCACACTTTCGCCACATTTTTTTTATCTCTTTGTTTGTCAGTCCTTGAATGGTAGTTAACTTTTCCTTGCTGTCATCATCATTAACAATCTCAACTGTTCTCCCACATTTGTCTTCACTCAAATTGGTTTTAGGGTTGATCGTATCTGACGTCAAAATCTGTTTTTTCCCTCTTTTTTTTCCACTGTATTCGAATTCTGCATCTCTATTTCGTTTTCTGTCTCTTTTCTTGATCTTCCGGACCATAGATGTTTGTCCTGTTTTTTCCTTTCCCCCATGATATTCACCTACAAATGTTTTCTTTTTGATATTTCTGGGTTATAAAATGAACAGATAATTCATTGATTTGATCAATCAACTCAGCGTTCTCCTTTTTTAAATTTTGTATTGTTTCCTTGCAACCTTGTATTTCTGCTTCAAATGTTTGTTCCCTCTTTTTTAAATTTTCAACAACTTTATTCAACTCATTTATAATCATCTCCTTTTCTTGAATTTTCAATGCGAATGTAGAGTATTGTTTGTCAAAACCATCACCAGCAAAAATAGAATGGGAATACTGCAAATAAACATTTATCTATGGCAATGTTCTCTATAACAATTTTGAACACCTCAATTTTCTTCAATATTTCTTGAAGCCTTTGGGTGTTTCTATCTACTTTTTCTCCTACAACATCAACATTGTGCGTCGATTCGTTCATTGCAGCATCAATAAGAGATTCAAATGTCACATTTGAATCTCCATCACCTCCAATTGCATCCAACAAATCATCATGATGACCAAAAGATGTATCATGTTCTGCCTGCTTATTCCCACCGCACTCAAAATCTTCTTCATCCACCTGTGCATGTATTTTTTCAACTTCACCACTTTCGGTCTTTCCCTCAAATTCAGATTGGTCCACTTCTTCATATTTGCTTCCCTTATATTTCAGAAAAAAATTTCTTCTACTGTTCTACTCAATCTATGTCTCAACATCTTTGCAACATTTTAAAAATATACAATTGTATGCATTAATTAACACAAGTGTATCATGCAAGTGTATCATTATATTGTGACATTACAGTGTTTTTTAAGATGCAAGTGTATTATATGATAACATAAAAAAGATATAAAAATTATGTAAGATAGACATATTAATTTAAAATTGTTATATTTAACCAACTTACATATTTTGACTTCAAC